TTACATAAAGATTAATTAATTGAAATTTTTTCTCATCATTTATTTAAAGGGAGGGCAAAAGAGAACCCTTCGTTTTGGCGTTTATCCAGCATTAACGCCAATAAAACCGCAAGGGGAGAGAAAAAGGCAAAGGGGACTTGTAGACCACTGAAAACCTACTTGCTGTAATTACACTGCTTAAGAACGTGTTTATTTTTAATTAATTTGCATTTAGACTAAATCGATATATTCAAATTCAAACAAAAATTTATATTCAGGGGTCTCTAATGGTACTAAAAGGAAAATTCATATTAGTTTCAAGCAAAAAACATTATACCTAGTTGATTTGGCAAATATCAGGTTTTTAGAAATTTTTTGGTCATTTCTACATACAAAATACTGTGAAAGGATATATTCCCATACCTAATTGATTTGAGCAAATATAAAGACGGAATAAAAATATTAAACACCGAAAATTGCAACTGTCAAAATTTTTTTGTCACATTTTTGGTTTATTCACAAAAATTGACAGATATTTTGGAGTGCAGAACCAGCAAGAAAAGTTCGGCGCAAATGTCCAAATTCGTGACCCACCAACCTGCTCGTCCCACTTTTAGTCGAAAGATATACAAACCCTTTTTCTCTCCCCCTGAGGAATAACGAGAACTCTAGCGGGGGGTGGGTGAATGTGACCCGACTTGTAGGTTTATATCGGGTGTTGTTTTTATGTAATTTTATTGGAATGATTGTAATTTATTAGCTCGAAAGGAAAGGACCGCTTTACCCCGTCCCGAGGAATTTAGTGTACTCTGAGGTGAGTGTGTTCAGCGAGAGAGTTCAACCCCGTGGAATATACTTTGAGAGTGAATGTGTCCAGACTTTTAGGATTATATCGGGTGTTGTGTTTATGTAAATTTATTGGATTGAATGTAATTTATTAGCTTAAAAGGGTTTTTTCTAACGAGAGTTCCCAACAGCAGAGGTCATAGGTCAACCCTCGGGTGCCGGTGTTTTTGAGAAAATTTGTATGTGGGGTAGATTGCAGGGCCGCTGGATTCGAACCCGGGACCTTTACCGTACAGTGATGAGCGCCGTGTCAACGCCTAAACCGTTGCGGCCACCGACGCCATCTTGAAAAGTATTGCTTCACCACGTCCCGAGGTCGTCGTGTTCTCTGGGGTGAGTGTGACGTTTGAATAATAAAAGTAATTTATTAGCGAGAATGGGGAAGGTTCTACTCCATGGAATATCGAATACGTTGGAGGATTGATTGGTATTGAATATGACTTCTATGTTTGTGGTGATGTATGTGTATTGTATATTTTATTCTGTATGTGACAACCTGATGTGCAAATAAGAGGCTGGCATTTATATAGACGTACCTTACAAATAAAAGCAAAGTCAGATCGAGATGCTTAAATGCTGCTGTTGAAAACAAAACATACGTACGAAAGACCATAAAAAGGACAACACACAGTGGGCAGGCGATGACCTCGGCTATTTGTCTGCCCATAAAACTCCATTATATATATCGTGCATTATATATAAAAGTGACAACAATGTTGATATATCTTCTTTCAATTAATTAATCTTTATGTAAGGTATTGGTTGAGATAAAAAAACCAGTGTCACGAGCGGGATTCGAACCCACGACCTTCGGCTAAATACGCCGCTGCGCAATCTTATAGATATATTAATTAATTTAACCGACTTAAGAGCGACTCAACTGAACCCAAAAATTAGGAAGAAAGTAGTGACTATTAAAAAAGACAAGTTTCCATTAATTTGGCTCTGCATCGAAGAACGACATTTTTCTACTTATTTCTGAAAGCTTGTCAGAAATTTGACTTTTTAATACAGTCAGATTTTTCGAACGCTATTTAGTCGGCATAATTAAAAGCAATTTTAAAATAATTAGATTCAAAAATATAGCGGGCAGTTCGGAAGGGTGCGATGTAGCATGTGTCGTTTTTCTTTCCTCTCATCCGGTCGTAACCCCATGTCATGCGATCCAGATGGCAGGGAAACTTGCAAGTCCTTTGGCCAGTTCGTAACGCCAAACCATTTTCATTCGAGGGAGGAAATTTTCACGAAATACCTTTTAACGCCGGTCACGTACCCTGGCTCTAGTTTTTGTGAGGAATAAACTTTTACGCGGTTTCACATTCTTCCCTTTCATCCTGATAAATAGTTTTGATTTATATGTTTTTACGTCAAAATTTAAAGTAAAGAATATCTGGAGTTTGTGCGAGCTCAACTCATGTCCAAAAGTACACACCTCAAACAACAAGATGTAATGAGTATATATTTTAAGAAGTAAAAGAAAAAAAATATCTGGGACTTAAGAGGCACCCTTGAATAAGAAAAAAATACAAAATTAGTCACAATTCTTGTCAAAATGGAGTTAGGTAGAGAATTCCAGAGATTATAGGAACTGATAAGGAAGGATCGAGCAAAAGTGTTGAATTTGTGTGAGAAGGGTTCGAGATCAGAAGATTGGTGGCAAGTGTGTATAGAAGACTTAATTATCAATATAGCCTTTGATAGGAGAGGTACGGCCATTTCAAACCACGGTACATATTAGACACATGAGATCTTTAGGTAGCTAAATACGGATTGAAGAAAGCAATTCATGATTCTCTTGAGTCTGTTAACAAGCTCGTTGGTTCACCTCAAACAGCCATAATCGAAATGGGTAAGCACAGGGGACCGGTAGTTTGCGGGTGTTGATTAGGAAGAGTCGGCTGGTATGAGGGAAATGGCGGATGGAGAAGGGAATTGTGAGGATTCCAGCATAGGGTTTGATCAAGGACGGTAGGTGAACCTGGTGGACCAAAGCTCAACAAAACGTAGCTACTCAAACATTAGGCAGCATACGAACACTAGCAAACCTATGTATCACAGGGGCAATGGGAACAACCCCTAAACTAACAACCCCCCTAAGTGCACAAGAAACTCTGCTAAACTACCTCTACTGGAAACATTTATACAAGGAGAGAATAGGAAAAGCTCATTTAGGCTCCAAAAATAATCAAATTGGATAAGAACTAAACACTTCTGGCATACTACCATAATGAACAAAATCAGACACCCTAGAAATGGGGACGATCCCTGAAACATTCTTTACAACATCCTAAAAAGGAGATGAAGAACTCTGATCATCAGGTACAACGATATGGATACAGATGGTTCTAAAACAAACGAAGGAACCGGATCGGATATTTACTGTACAAACCCAAAATATGAGCAGTCAAACTCATTAGGGAAGTACACTTCGGTCTTTCACAGCAAAGCCACTTTTTACCCTGGAAAACCCTAAAAGAAGTTACACTGGCAAAAAATCCTCCTAAGATCTGATAGCCGTTAAAGCATTAGAAGGTAAAAAACTCACATCAAAATTAGTCAGTGAATGCATTCAAAATATCCAAAACCTGGGGAAACACCACAACCTGATGATATCTTGGGTGCCAGGGCAGAGGAATTTTGGGTAACGAGAAAGCTGACAGACTGGCCAGAGATCTGCAAGACCATACTTGGGATAACAAAAACAAATATAAAATCCTCCATCGCAGAATGGATCCAAAGAAAACAAAAGGAGAAGTGGATAAACTCCAGCGACGCTAGACGCAGTAAACTTATGATGAAGCAACCCTCACCAAGACTGGCAAAATCACTGCTGCAATTGGCGAGGGCTAAACTTAGAGGAGTAGGACTACTAACCGATCACTGGCATATGAGAAAACTTCTTCACAACATGGTATATACAACGATCTGCATATTATGCAATGAGGAGGAGGAAACAGCCACCCATATCATTTTCGAATGCGAAGTAACAGCTCAATGTAAATTTAACCTAACATACAAAAAAAATCTAGGGAATGAAATTGTAGCAGCAACAGTCAATGACCTGTTACTTCGAAGAGGAAGGATTGAGTCTATTGCACCGAACTAAAGAACTAGTAAGGCTGCAGTGCCTGGGGAGAACAAACCCCGCTTCCTAGTATCCTTATTACCATACTAATACTATACCATACCAACGACGATAGGTTTTCGGATGGATAAGCGATGGAGCGAGGTTGGATCCACTGCTTTCTCGCTAATAAATTACTCTTACTCTGTAGACGTCACACACTCACCCCAGAGTAGTCGAAATTCCTCGGGCGGGTTTAAACGATTATTAACTTTCACGCTAATAAATTACCTTCTTTCCAATAAATTAGTGTAATGTACATACCACTACACCCCTGAGGTCCCGGAACAGCGATTTGTGCCTGCTGCCGTATTGGGATTACGCACAGGTCTGACTATATTTCCAAAATATTGCTTTTATATCAACCTTGTACAATTATTAGACAGTTATTCTATCCTTGCATAACGGGCACCTAAGCGGTCCCTATCATGCGAGAAGGTGCCCCGTGCGCTGTTCTTGTATGACCTATCCGAAGTCTTGGCAGTATGACCTTTTTCCTTTTCGACCCGTTCTCCGTGGACCAGGGACCGACGTCTTTCGTAACCTGTCAAATTTTAACAGGACTTACTGCACGATATTAGATTAAAAAGCAGACATAAACCTATTCATTATACTGTCTGATAAAAATGACAATTAACCAAATTTCATGATAATTTTTCAAATTATTTTTCATTTTTCTTCAAGAGATGATTTCTTATATAAAGTTAAAGAGATTTTGCTATTACATTTTCATATTTCGCAGTGATGGTGTTTACAAAAGTCATTGTTTGATATTACTTCCGCATTTATCTGTGCATCATATTAAAGAATGTCTGTTCCTATTTTTCATACCTAGACAGACTCCCAGAGAATATAAATGACTAAATAGAACAAACAACAAACAGTGGGGTTGGAACAGAAATAATTCAAAGTTATCTCAGCCGTTCAGAAAGCTGTGTCGTCTCGTTGAATTATAACTGGATTATCTGCTATTTATATATATATCTAGTTACAACGTGTATTTTTTCCAATATGCTGATCGATATTTACAATTTTCTATTTTTTATTTCAGCACGGACTTGTTTTTCTACGAGGGAACATGGCTCATACGAAATGGTATCTGAATTCAACAAATAAGCATATTCGCTAAGCCTGCCAGCCTATTCAAACATTTAGAATGTAAGTAAATTCAGCAGTAACTTAATTTTTATTCTGCTAAAAAAGTAACCATGTCACACAACTGTTTACTTACATGTCAAAGTATCTTACAAAATATTTTTATTTTCAAGTTCCAGACTTTATTTTGTTTTTACGAAGGAAATTTTTTTTGGAACAACGAAAGTTACTATCCTTGTCTTGTTTGATTTTTCTTAAGCCTTGGATTCTGTCCCACACTCTTTCCTCTTCTCTAAATTCGAATTTTCTTCCTTCTCCAACAGCACCATCTGTTTGTTCCACTGTTATCTTATCAATCGCCACTACGCTGTCTCCATACTCAATGGCCTTACCTCCTCCTTCCATTAAAATCTGGGGTGCCCCAAGGCTCTAGCATCTCTCCTATCCTTTTTTCCATTTATATTAACGATCTGCCCGACTCCATTCAGATATACATCTTTCCACCCTTCCGATCTTCATTCGGCCCATCTATACTCAAGGGATGAGACCCATGAGGATCTTTAACGTCCGGATATATCCCCGAGGGGACTTTCAGACGCCCAGTGTTCTCAAAGAGAACGCCAGGAATTTTTTACATGGACTTGTCACATCCCTTGGCTAGCGAGGTGGTGCAATGCTGACCAAGTTCAGAAGTGCCCTGAAAAGGGCGCATCCATACATGACTGCTGCTGCAATTCTTCGATTTATGTTTTATTTTAGTAATTGGGTAAAATTTGAGAAAAACTCCTATTGAAAAGAATTCTTCCGATTCTAAATTCTCAAAACATAATCCCAGACTATCAATTTGGTTTGGCAACCGTCACTCAACCGTCCAACAGTGCCACCGCGCGGTAGACATTGTTTCCTCCTTCCTTGAGATGGGTCTGTTCATTGCATGCGTTTGGGACTGAAATGACCTAGCTGTCGATTGCTCCTGTCGGCGCCGAATTAATTTCAAAGGAGGCTGTCCACAGGGAGGCTGTTAGTCACCTCTTTTATGGCTAATTACAGTAAACTTCTTAATATAACTTCTGAATAATTCAGGCTTCTACAGTCAATTATTTTCAGATGATGGTACCATAATGCTCACAGGTAGGGATCCCCTGACTTTTTCACTACTGATGGAAAACGCCATGGGATTACTTTATGGGTGGTGTTGTGACAAAGGTTTATCAATTAATCCTGCTAAACTAGAATTGATAATGTTTAGCAGGAGAAGAACATTAGGTAATTTTAAAAACCCTAAATGTCGGGGCATAGAATTAAAGTTAGTGGATTCAATCCAATTCCTTGGTGTGACGCTTGACTGAAACTTGATTGGAAAGGTCATATTAATAACATATACAGGAATGGCACAATATCTATGGTACAATTTAGGAGAATTGTCGGTAAAACATGGGTCTCAAACCATGGGTAGTCAAATGGCTATATACTGCAATTATTCTACCTAGTTTATTGTTCGCAGGTTTAGTATGGTCGAAAGCCTAGAAAATAAAGGGATTAGTAACAAATAAGGTCATTTCAAAGACGGCTGTTTGATGATGGTAGGAGCATTTTCAACTACACCCACCCTAGCACTTGAAGTCATAACCAATACCACACCTCTACACATTGAGGCTAAGGTCAGAGCACTAATCAGCTGCTACAGATTAATTAGCGAAGGCAGCTGTAATCATAAGTGCAATAACATAGGTCACTCGAAAATCTTACATCTTAGAACTATTGAGTAAGGTTAACGGCCAATTATTAAGCGTTAGTGATAAAAAGGTTAAAACCCATTCGGAGAAAAGTACTTTCAGGTAGTCACCCCTTGTGAATAAAATTATAGTAAGGATGATGACCATCGTAACATAGACTGCTATACAGATGGTTCACTTTTATCAAAGGTAAAGGGAGCGATGCAGGAATCTATATACTTAAATTAGGTATCTGCGTCTACTCCCCTCTTGGCACTATGTTTTTCAGGTGGAAATCTGGGCCATTAATGTGTGTTGTAGAACACTTATGGAAAATAAAATTAAGCGAAAGGATATTAGAATTTTTTCTGACAGTCAGGCTAGTCTTAGGTCATTACAAAAAGATTTGTCAACCTCACGACTGGTGGGGGAAAGTGTAGATCTTATCAATAGGATCTCTTCCAGGTTTGAAAACAAGGTAACTTTATTTGGATACCAGCACATAAAGGACACCATGGCAACGAAGGCTCTAATACTGCGTTTGTCGGGCCACAACTGGTATTACCTCACTCTATGAGCACAGCGAAAGAGAGTATCAATAACTGGGGCATAAACAATTCCTTAAGGAGTGGAATTTATCCCCCGGACATAGGCAATCGAAAGAGTTTGTTAAGGCGATCAAACCAGCAGAATCGAAATGGCTATTCTCTAACTCAAGGAAGGGAGGCTGCTAGGTATCCTGACTGGCCACTGCCCACTGAGAAGACACCTCTACGTAATGGGTATTCTACTAGATCCCTTTTGCCGTTTTTGCGAAATAAAAGAAGAAACGGCAAGGCACTACCTCACAGAGTGTGATAGGTATGGTAGGTCTAGATTTGAAATCTTTGAAGCAGAGGACATCACTAAATCACTCCCCGAGATTAATTGGTCCAAAATCTTGAGGTTTGTGAACAGGCCCAAGAGATTTATGCTGGACACGTGAGCCGACCAAGTCCTGGACCTTTTAGGGATGGGGTACGAGTACCCAGGCATTTAACCCCTCTGGTCTTGGTCGCCCACCCTGCATAATATATCCTGTCGGCGCCAAACCCAGTTGGTAAGGAAGTGACTATCCTGGGCATTTGACTTAAGGGGGATACCAGCGACCCATAACGGGGTGGGTGAACTCCATGATATGGAAGCACCCTTCTGGGTGAAAGTCCGAATACGGAAACTACAATAAAAATTTGAACCAAATCGAAAGAACTCTCTTAGGTTGTTTACTAATTACAAAATTGCATAAAATTCATTTATGACTGTTGAATTTTAAATCTACTTAAAGTTAAAGGAATTCGCAGTATAATTTTTATTTCTTCTTTACAAATTAACAATAGTTGCAAATTCATTAATTTCGTGGTCCGCTTGACCAATTAATACTTTACAGTTAATTAAGGCTTTTAGTTGAGATGAAAAAAAGTTAATGGCACGAGAGGGATTCGAACCCACGACCTTCGGCTAGATACGCCTCTGCTGTGCCACATGAGCTATCGTGGCTTCGATCCACTCAGACACTAACTTCCAATCTCAACCCACCTTTTTGAATTTTCCCTCCCTTTTGACATTTTTCAACTTAATTTCAAGACTTTTTATCTCAACCAATCCCTTTCATAAAGATTAATTAATTGAAAAGAATTTAATTGGTCATTCGGACCAGAAACTTGATAGATGTTACTTTTTAGTTACGGTTTTATTATTTTATCCTTAAATTTTTTTCTCTATTGTTTTATCTTACTTTATTACTGTACTTTTGGCAAATAAAATTGGGGCTCGTCGTAGGCGACAAAAATTCATGAACGGTCGTTTTTTTACGTCGAGTAGGGTCAACTGTCAATATCCATTGAAGCCCAAAAATATTGAACCAAGTATAAACAGCAAAAGACCTGATGGGACTTGTTATAACGACCACATATTTTACATGAGGAATTTCTTGTACCTTCCTTCTGGCAGACATAAAATCCCGAGTGAATTCCATTTGCTGAAAAATACCATTGACTTTTTCTACAGCATTCAGGGATTAAACTAGTAAAACAGATATCTTATTTCTTGGCATTATCGACTTAAAATCTAGAAATTACGTCCAANCATTAACTTTTTTTCATCTCAACTAAAAGCCTTAATTAATTGTAAAATAGTTGCAAACTTATCACTGTCTGTTAGCCTTAGCACTTCCGTTGTAATGTGTAGTTCTCTCAAAGTTTCAAATAACATCATTAATTGTTTCAGGAAATTAACTTCATCCAAATTCCCATAATCTTTCAAAAGTACAATTCTGTCGAAATAAGATGAAGATTTAAAGCGGCATGTCTTACGGAGGGGAAAGAAAGAGATTTTATTGCCGAGAATGGGTATTTATGAAACTGACCCATCTCATCGAACAGAAGAAAACGGGTGGAGCCCTGATCGTCGGTGGGCCCGGCAGCGGCAAGTCGGCGATATGCAACGAGATATCGTGCCCGACTGCGGGTCACACGGGAAGGCCTCAGAGGTCTTTGAACAGAAGGCTCCTCGCCCACCATTCCTGCCAGGCGCACGACAGGTCTTCGCTGTCCATGCAGCAGTTCATTCTGAGCATGGTCAAGCAGCTTTCGGTGAAAGACACTCCTCCTTTTGCTTCGCTCGCCGAGAGGATGCGATCCGACCCTGAGGTAACCACACAACTAACTTCTTCGAACCCTTTCTATAAATTTTTGTTTTTCAGGTTTTGTCGGCCATCTCGCCGGAAGCTATGGTGCAAGATCCTGACGACAGTTTCAGAAGGGCTGTTTTAATACCTTTGACTCAAGTTCAGCCTACCCCGACCCAATGTTTTTTCCTCTTGGTTGATTCCGTCGATGAAACTTCTTTTACCGCCGCCAAACCTACCGGTGCTGCACCAGTCGCTAGCAAAACCGTCGGAGACCTTCTCGTCAACAACCACCACCTGCTACCACCGTGGCTTCTTCTGTTCGTAACGGCGAGAAGGCAGAATAAGCACATAGCAAAGGCGTTTTCAACTTACAAAAAAATATGCATAGATGATCTCAGAAAGTCTCAGGTGGGTGGCTTCATTTTGACAAAAACGATACTGCGTGTATTAACTCGAGTATAAATTGAGCACTAATAAGTCCATTTGGTAAATACCCTTTATTTCATATCATTTATTAACCTTGAAAAACAATTTTCAAGACACTATCATAAATAAACGTCAACATTGTATAACACCTCTCACACTCCTGTTTATTATGGGAAGATAAAAAAGTCAAGATAAAAGAAACAAGCCGTTAAGTGATGAGTTTAGCAAAGCAAAAAATGCACATGTCCACATTTGTTAACCACATGTCTAAAAAGGGTATGTGAAAACCATTTCAACGGCACATCAGTCGATCTCTTGGATTGCCAGTAGATACTGATAATTTCGCCAAAAGTGTTGTTTTGCCTTGAAAAAAATAATCTATTTTATTATTATAACTATAAATTTGAAGATCAAACAAAAGGATAATCTTCTACACACATTGTTTATTTGTCTTCAAATAATTAATCTCTCTCTGCCGATTTCTGATTGCAGGTCGTGAGAGACGTCCAGCAGTATATACTTTTGAGGCTGGAAAGTGAAGAATGCCTCAGAAGGCAGATGTGCCACGGCACGGCGGAAACTTTGAACCAACTCCATATTAAGTCAAACGGATGTTTCCTATACCTCGAACGTGTCCTTGACGGAGTAGCTGATGGCTGCATCGTCCTGAGGGAAGTGAGGGACATACCCGGAACTCTGAACGGCCTGTACCTCTGGCTTTGTCAGAGGCTTTTGATCGCTAAACACTTCGCGAAGGTAAGACAAATTGTTAGTCTGTTGTCAAGCTTAAAAAGAAAATACTAACAAGTGAATGAAAATAGGCCGTCTAATGATGCCCGATTTTAAATTTTGCCAGTAACTACTTTACAGACCTCCCATATCGCTTTTACAATAGTAAAAAAGATAAAAACTCTGATTTCTATTCACGAAACGGATCCCACTAAAACGTTTAGGACTTTAGAATAGTCTGAACTACTAGCACGAAAAAATCTAACGTATTGAGAAAAAACAAACTGACAATCTCCAAAGCAGTACTAAAACCAATTTGGAACTGTTAGTCAACGCTAAGCCCCCCCCCCCAAAAGTTCTTCCAATCCAAAGACCTCAGAACCATAGTCAGTGTTCTCTACTACGTCTCAAATTCCCTTTTGCACAACAAATAATCAGCCAAAAATTGTCAATCGTCCTCAACCTCTCGTCACCAGCAGACTAGGCCAATTCTTATCCAATAAAAATCCACCCCATCGGGACACTCCTTGTCGAAGATTAGTCGTTTGGAAAGTTGAGAGATCAGTCTTTAACTCCCCTCAGGATATTTGATCTATGCCCTTTCTAAATACCTCATGCATGGCTGGCATAATAATTACTAACCGAATTATACTTAAAACGACGGAATTGTTCTTTTGAGATTTTTCCGTGTGGTTCTATGGGGTGAGAAACCTGTAATTTGGCCGTTAGTAATCATTTTCGTTTGCAAGTGTAGATACAAACACACTGAAGATAGCGAAGTACTAAGGGAGGATAGGCGGACCTAAATAATCAAATTATTTTAAGGTTGAAAAAATTGTCAAAATTCGTTAGTTTCAAAATCCGACCGATCTACCATTTTTAAATACATTTTTTTTCAAAATTCTTCTCCTTAAAAACTTCCGGGACTAAAGATAAAAAGAGAGAATGGGCAAGAGCGAGGAGAGAAAAACAGAGAGAGAAAGAGTGATTGAGCTGGAGAGAGCAAGAGATTGAGTGAGAGAAAGAGTGAGTGATCGAGTCGGAGAGGAGGAGGGAGAGAGAGAGATTGAGTGGAAGAAGCAGGGAGTGAGTGATCCAGTGGAACAGAGAGGGAGATAGAGTGAAAAAAGAGTGAGGGGAGAGAGAGGGAGAGGGAGAAAGAGAGATTGAGTGAGAGAAAGAGTGAGTGATTACGTTGTAGAGAGGGAAAGAAAAAAAGGGTGTGGTTGAATGGAAGATAACGAGATTGAGTGGGAGGGATTGAGTGAGAGAAAGAGAGAGAGATTGAGTGGAAGAAACAGAGAGTGAATGATTCAGTGAGAGAGAGAGAGAGAGAGAGAGAGAGAGAGAGAGAGAGAGTGATTCAGTGGAAGAAACAGAGAGTGAATGATTCAGTGGGGGAGAGAGATTGATTGATTGATATCGCTTTATTTACATAATCTCTCAAGATTATGATCTCAGAAGATCAAGATCGAGAGAGAGAGAGAGAGAGAGAGAGAGAGGGAGAGAGAGAGAGAGAGAGAGAATGAGTGATTCAGTGGCAGAGAGAGGGTGATGGAGTTAGAGAAAGAGTGAGTGATTGAAAGCAGAGAGAGAGGGGGGAGAGAAGAAAAGAGAGATTGAGTGAGAGATTAGGTGGGAAAGAAGAAGACAAAAAAAAAGAGGGAGCGATTGAATCGAAGAGAGAGTGAGTGATTGAGTGGGAGAGAGCGAGAGATTGAAAGAAAAAGAGAGAGAAAGATATTGAGTTGTAGATCAAGAGAGTGAGTGATTGAGTGGGAGAAAGAGAGCGAGAGATAGAGTGGGAGAAAGAGAGCGAGAGATAGAGTGAAAGAGAGAGAGAGATTGAGTGGAAGAAACAGAGAGTGAGTGATTGAGTGGGAGAAAGAGTGTGAGTGATTCAGTGGAAGAGAAAGGGAGATAGAATGAAAAAAGGGTGAGTGATTGAGGGGGGAGAGAGAGAGAAAAAGAGATTGAGTGGAAGAAACAGAGAGTGAGTGATTGAGTGGGAGAAAGAGTGTGAGTGATTCAGTGGAAGTGAAAGGGAGATAGAATGAAAAAAGGGTGAGTGATTGAGGGGGGAGAGAGAGAGAAAGAGAGATTGAGTGGAAAAGAGAGGGGATGATTGAGCGGGAGAAAGAGAGTGAGTGATTGAGCGGGAGAGAGCGAGAGATTGAGTGAAAGAGAGAGAGAGAGAGAGAGAGAGAGAGAGAGATTGAGTGGAAGAAAAAGAGAGTGAGTGATTGAGTGGGAGAAAGAGAGTGAGTGATTCAGGGGAAGAGAGAGGGAGATAGACTGAAAAAAGAGTGAGTGATTGAGAGGATGGGGAGAGAAAAAGAGAGATTGAGTGAGACAAAGGGTGAGTGATTAGGTGGGAGAGAGGGAGAGAAAAAAAAGAGGGAGTAACTGAATGGAAGATAACGAGATTGAGTAGAAGAGATGGAGGGAGATGGAGTAAGAGAAAGAGCGAGTGATTAAGTAGGAGAGAGATAGAGATAGAGAGAGAGAAAGAGAAAGAGAGAGAGAGCGTGCGTGTGCGTGTTTTGGTGAACATGCTCATGAAAAAGAATTATAAAAAAAGTATTCATACAAATATAGAAATTTACTAAGCTGACTAGTACTACGTTGGCCGTCAAAACTTACGCTGAAATCGACGCCTAAAGAATGGAAGCACTTTCCATATTTTATTATTTCATGTATGAACTCCGTCCCATTTATAAATAAAAATATATTTATATATATACACAACGATAAAGGGTTAAAAAATATATATAAAAACATAAACATAAACATTTCAGAAATAAGGCTATCGCAGTCTCCGGTCTAATGCATTCAGCTCGAATCGTATTCAACGATGTGATTATTTAAATTCTGCTCTTTTATGAATTCAAAAAAATAATATTTACCAATTCTTATCTGTCCTTAAATCAAATTATAATAAATCCAATTATCAATTTTTTTCTCTACTCGTAAAACATCCCGATTAGTTTTATATCGTATTTTATTCATGAGTATACTTGTTTTTTTCTGGAAACATTTAAATCGAGAAAAAATGAAATTATGCATTACTGATAATAAATTAGGAATACATTTTCTTGGAAAATTTTAAATATCCGTTATGGGTGTCGCGACCGGATATGTCTCATACTCTAAAACCCTCTCTTAAATGTCCTTTGGATGATTTAAAAAAAAATTTCATTTTAAATTATGCTTTTCCGACGATTTTTCCTCAGTACACACTATTCTTAATATCCTGAACTATATCCCTAACCCTCTGTTCAATTACATACCCACTGTTATTATTATTATTTTTGAAAAAATTAACTTCTTTATTGACAGTGTACTTGCATTTGCAATATGCGTTTTGAATTCTTTGCCAAGTTCATGTTAAGTCCTAGGACTTTGTCAAGAAGGATTCTGTCAATTTTACCATGGCTTGGCGAGAGTTAAGATTTGTGAGTGATTTATTGCTTTAAATTTATCACGGACATTTTTTATGGCGTCCATTGTCTTATTTATTTTTCTGGTATTTGATATATACTTTTAATCCGTATCAACAATACACGTCAGCTTCAATGAGAAATTAGAGGATTAAAGGGATGAATATAAATGTTTTAGATTAGCTGAAACATTTGACCATTATTTTAAAACAATTTTCTGTTTATATGTATTATCTAATTTATGTTAATTGCTGTAAATTCATTCAAATCTGAGAAAAGATTTGTGCAGTGTGGCCTTGATTTTGTTGCACTTGTGAATCATATTTGCAGTCAACTGTCTAATAAGGTTTTTTTAGCACTACTTTATTTGAGCATGACTCATTGTCTCAGATTCTCTGTATTATTAAAACTCGAGCAATTGCTCATGCATTTTTTTTTTTTTAATTTGTCTTTTCCTCTTCCTGAAGGTGAGACCACTTCTCAATATTATTCTTGCGTCCGAGAAGGGATTGACAGAAGCTGAAGTAACATCGATACTTTCGACCTGTGATAACACCTTGAGCAGGGAAGACTTGAAAAGACGGTGCCAGGTGGCGAGGAGAGTACTGAGCACATCTCTAGACCTTACCCTGCGTCCGTTTCATAACAGTTTTGCCGAATGGCTACTCGACGTGAAACACTGCACACAACGTTATCTCTGTTCTTCTAGTGCAGGTCATGCGATGATTATTATGCATCTTACAACAAGGTAATGTTTTTTTTTTACATAACGCAAACGTGCAGTGTTTGAATGAATGTTTGAAACAGAGGGCCAACGTTGTCACCTAATGAAGTCGAAAGATTGGCGTACCATTTGAGCTGTTTACCTCCATCTGTACTCGGCCCGTTAACGCCACTTTGGCTACTCACATCCGGAGTCCCGTTGGATTTATGCGATTCGAGCCATCCGATAGCGATGGATTATTTAAGAGAAATAGAAGCCGCTTGCAACCAGGTAATGGTTCAAAGTTTCTTTACAGAAATACGGAAAAAATCAACAATTTTTCACCTTAGGGAGGGACGGAAGATTGCCTTGCAGAAGGTGAAGCTGAAGATATCGTAGAAAGCCCGGGTGAAATCAGCCTTCACTGGTTGGCAGCAGAAGGTGATCACGACAAATTAGAAGCAGCTCTGAACATAGACGCGTCTGCTTTAGAAGCGACTGATAGGCACGGTCAGACTCCTCTGAACTTGGCAGCACGCCTTGGCTTACATAACATTGTTAAAGTAATATATTATTATTTGTAAACTCCTGTCTACAGTTATTATTACACATGTAATAATTATTTGCTTTTAGGTACTCCTTGCTGCAGGAGCAGAAGTGGATCATGCTGATTGTGATGGCTGGACTGCTTTGAGAGCTGCAGCTTGGGGTGGCCACACAGAAGTAATATACTTTTAAATTTCTATCATTTATTACTATTAATTACTAATATTTTTTTAAATAACAGGTCGTTAAATTAGTACTTGAAGCAGGAGCATCTGTTGACAGCTGTGATAGAGATCAAAGGACTGCTCTCCGGGCAGCTGCTTGGGGTGGACATGCTGATATTGTTACTCTCCTTCTAGAAGCGAACGCTGACGTCAATAGGACCGATTGTGAAGGGAGAACTGCTTTAATAGCCGCAGCGTACATGGGCCATGCAGAAATAGTCGAAAAATTATTAGATTATAACGCAGATATTAACCATCAAGACAGCGACGGTAGGACTGCGCTCAGTGTCGCTGCACTCTGTGTCCCGGCCAGTGAAGGTTACACCAAGGTAAATTAAAATTTTCAAATTAAATTGTCAAAGTAAAATGTCAACTAATAAAATATTTATTTAAGGTTGTTAATATTTTACTCGAGAGAAATGCTGATGTCGATCATGAAGATAAAGATGGTATGACACCATTGTTAGTGGCCGCATTTGAAGGACACCGGTATGTTTTATTAAATATCACTACTCATGTCAGGCAATTTTAACTTTACAATTTTTTTAGGGATGTTTGTGAATTGCTCCTTGAAGCTGAAGCGGATGTTGACCATGCTGATAGCGCAGGAAGAACGGGGCTTTGGGCCGCAGCGTCCATGGGTCAGGCCAGCGTCGTTTCCCTTCTTTTATTCTGGGGGGCGTCAGTCGATGCGATCGATCCAGAAGGAAGGACCGTACTTCTCGTCGCTGCTGCACAGGGCAGTGAGCCCGTCGTTAATCTTTTACTCGAAAGAGGTAATTTTAATTATTCGCTATATACAGGGTGAGTCATTTTTTGACGCACCATTGGAAAATCAACGTGGGTGCGTTTAAATNAAAATCATTATAATAATTGTTCGAACAGACCTCCATTTGCTGCAACCCAGTAGCCTAAACGATGATCGGACGAAAAAAATACTCTTAAACCTTAATCATATTAATTTGTGAAGAATTTTTTTTAAAAATTTTTACATTGTGTTTAATGTTTTAATAATATGGGTTTTGTTTATTTTCCTTCCAACCTCCTAAAACTAATAATTAACGAATGTTGCATCGAAAAGTGACTCGCCTATTTTTTGGTAGGAGACTAACAAAATAAAATGTGCCGAGTCATAATTAGACGCACCAACGTTGATTTTCCTATGGTGCACCAAAAATTTACTCACTTTCTTTTATTAACGTATTAATCAAAGGAAATAAGTCTCGAGTCAGATTTAAACGCGTCAAAAAATGACTCACCCTGTATATAAAATGAATGAAAACGTTTATTTTTAAAGGAATGGATGAACAACATCGAGACAACTGCGGATGGTCTGCATTGCATTACGCTGCTTTAGAAGGACATTGTGAAGTTGTGAGAACATTGTGCAATGCAGGCGCTAGACCGTCGTGTGCCGACAATGACGGTAGGTCGCCGGTAATGCTTGCTGCCCAAGAAGGGCACACGGCTCTAGTCAAACAGCTTGTAGAAGAGCACGGCGCCGAGGTCGATCAGAGGGCCCACGACAAGACAACTGCTCTAAGGTAAATCTAATCGCATTCGCACTATTTTACACTAATTTTTCTTCCTTTTTAGACTCGGAGCACTCCAAGGTCATCAAAATGTTGTCCGTGCGTTGTTAAGTTACGGAGCAGACGTTAACGCTCAAGATGCTGATGGAAGAAGTACTCTTTACATTCTTGCTTTGGAAAATCGGCTACAAATGGCAGAATTCCTTATAGTGAATGGGGGTGCTGATGTAGAAGTTAGAGATTTGGAGGTAAAATGATCGATCCTTTACATATTACAATTATTTAAGGTTTATTAGTTGAGATAAAAAAGTCGATGGCACGAGCGGGATTCGAACCCACGATCTTCGTCTAGAAACGCCGCTGCTCTACCACTTGAGCTATCGTGACCTCGATCCACTCAGACACTAACCTCTCCTTGGAATTGAACCTTTCCATATTAGTATTTTTTTAATTAATTAATTTTTTCAACGGTGTTTTTGGGATTCACATAGGTCATATCAACCAGAATTATAGTGTTATCATTTTGGATTTTTTTGTATTTTGGGTTGCGGTCTCTGCTACGATATAACATTGGTGCTTTTCTAGGGGAGGACTGCCCTTCATGTCAGTGCTTGGCAAGGACATGCAGAAATGGTTAATCTTCTGTTAACCATCGGACATGCTGATCCTAACGCTGTGGACAACGAAAGAAGGACGCCTTTACATTCTGCTGCTTGGCAGGGTCACGCTCAGGTCGTAAAAATGCTATTAGACAACAATGCCCGGGCAAATGATACTTGCAATCAAGGAGCGACCGCACTAGGTTATTTTCCCATTTTCATAAAAATCTTTAGTTTTATGAAATTAACCTGCGATTTTTTAGGCATTGCTGCTCAAGAAGGCCATGAAGAGTGCGTAAGAGTGCTTCTAGCAGTCGGAGCAGATCCAAATCATTGTGATCAATGTGGAAGAAACGCGCTAAGGGTCGCTGCGAAAAGCGGACACCAAGCTGTCGTCAGACTTCTCGAACAAGCGACAAACAGTACCTCAGCGCCAGTACCTCCAAGCAGTTTGCCAATACCTAATGGTACGTTTTACTCAACATTAGATTCTCCTTCTGCATACTCAAAAATTGTTTTTCAGGAGCGATACTTTGTCCGAGTGCCCCTTGTTTGCAAGATTCGCCCGAGCTGACTGGCAAACGAAGGTCTCTTGTTTCAAGCGACAGCAGTAACCTCACCAACAGTACACGAAGCTCTCATAAAGAACTTCAGGTAATCAACATAAAAATTTAAAACAAAATCGTATCTTATTTTTAATGCAATACATTTATTTTGTTTTTAGGGTCAGTTGTCATTTACTCAACAATTAGAACATTGTTCAAGGAGATCCAAAGTACTAAGCCCATTACAATCTCAGCCTCCAAGTCCGATTTATGCTTCTCCTCCTACAAGCCCTCAGAACCCGTGTAGTACGTAGTATTTATAATACATATACACTCACAAGACAAAAAAAAAAAAAAAAAAAAAAAAAAAAAAAAAACGAACACTTGTATTTTGTTGTTCATCTGAGCATACGGCAGTGTACTGGCCAAGTTCCAGGAAGCCGCCATTGTATCTTTTCAGGTACCAATTCACCTAATTTTTCTCACTCTCATATCTCTGCTTCCTCTTAAGATGGTTAGGGATGGTTAGTAGCGTCGGTGGCCGCAACGATTTAGGCGTGGACAGGGCGCTCATCACTGTAAGTTAAAGGTACCAGGTTTTAATCCAGCAGCCCTGCATTCGAGCCCCCGATATATTTATAAATGGTATTTTTTTCAAAAACACCGGTACCTGAGAGTTGATATAATCTCTGCTGTTGCGAACCCTCGTAAAAATAAATAAAAAGGTGGTCTTTTGAAATATGAAACATAAATTAAGCTTAGGCTGCTTCGGACATTGTAAAAGTTTGAGCACTTAATATTAAGCCTTTTCAAAAAGGGAGAATTTCAAAATTTTTGTTACTGACTGATCATTAAAATTATAAGGTACTTCCTGAATAGCTACAAATGTGAAATTCCTTTTTAAAAAAAATATAGGTTTTATGCATGAAGAAAAAATCGGAAAATTTCAATTTTCTCAAAATTAGTGCTACTATAGGGGGGGGGGGAGTTTCTCACTGTCAAATTAAAAATTCTTCCATCAGTTTGCGTGGGACAAGTATGTTGTTTCTAACAATGCCAAATGCTGCACCAGAGTTTTTCTATCATGGCAAGGCTTTTTGTCGTATTTTTTCTTTCCTATTTTGACGCTTATTTCCTTCCACTGTCTTCTCTGTTGTTCTTGTTTTGATGAGTTTTATCTTTAGAATCCCAGAAAAATCGATAGCCGTGATGCATTGGATAAGGTAGGCCGTCCACTGGAGCAGTTTTCGGCCGAACTTGCTCAGTCGTGCAACGGCCGAATAGGGCCGGATGGTACAAAAGCGAAGAAACGAATGAGCACGCGTCCATTAGAACCAATTCATTCGGTCGTGTTGGGCCGTGTACAGCCGAAGCACTTTCCGATCCAAATAAAGTTGGATTTTCCAGTCCTATTCGGCTGAATGGTTTGACTTCAACTGTCAACCGCGTGACATCAAACGCTCACCATTGTTTAACGCCGTTCTTTGCTTTTTGCTTACCTTTTTGTTTCGTTTTTATTTTGATGGATTGTGAAAAATTGATAAGTGCGNTTTTGTAACTACAAAACTTTTTCAATTGTCTAGTTTTGGTGAAATTCAAGAAAACATTTTTCGTGCAATGCGATTCTGCATTTTACCCAATGTTTTATGGCTGTGGATTTACATAATCCACATCGGATTTGTTTTTCTTTCGTTTCTAGGAAATGCCCAATTTTGTTGAATTGGGCCCCTGATGAAATCATGCTCGTAACAGTTGATATCGAAAAACCTGTCGAATAACCACTGGGCATATACAGTTAATAGAATTGTAAAGACCAAATATTCAAAAAAAAAAAATCTCATTTCACCAATTTAAATAAACAAAATTGTCAGAGGCGCATTCCAATCACTCCCATGATCCATCGGGTTCCCTACCGATAGGGTGTTGCAAGATAATAAAAACAAAAGGGCATTCCGAGTTGGGAGCTCCATGAAAGTACTTGCTATCATCCGGTGAGTCCATTCCCTTTTTTTCTGTGAACTCCTATAACTATATCTAACTATAACTCCTTATCCTTTCATAAAAAAAAGATAAATTTTTGTTTAGTAAAATTATTAAAATAGGTTTTAAAAGAGCTTTATATATTTTATTCATGCTAAGAGAAGCAATTATGTTCATTTTTCCTGTAGTTTCATTCTTTTCATTTTAGTTCAGAGCAGTTTCTTATTTTATTTTTATAATAAAAGCGATTTTTTTATGTTCCAAATTTTTATTTATTTCTTTTCCTCTTTAAATTTTGATTTGTGGGCATACTTGAAGCACAAGTCATTTTGGAACTTTCAATTTTCATTTATAGAATGTTTCTAATTCTTTTATACTCTTTAGATGGTAACTTGTCAAGGGAGTTAATTTTTTTTTTTTTTTGTTCATGGATGAAGCAATAAATTTGTATAAACAAAAAAGTTTCTTAAAAAGCGAGGTTTTATATAGAGAAGATTTCACCCGGGCAGAGGGTTTGACGGATGACGGATGTAGCATATGTTACATAGCCCAACTCCTGGATGTGTCACACTCTTCCTTGATGGTCTGCAGCGGTTTAGGGCGACTGGAAGTAATAAGGTACTGCACTCTAGAACCATGGTTTAATGGCCTCTTGATAGCTAAATACAAACAGTCTGTGTAAAGTTGAGCAACAGGCATCAGAAGGCTTCGTGAGAATAGCCTAGTCTCAAGACGTCCCGCATCAAGTGATCTACTCCTCTCCAGACATCAAGTAGAAAAATGAATAATTGCAAATCAGCATCTTTTTACAGACGAATGTCGGTTAGGTTTGTGCCAATCAAATGACCGAAACGGAACCAGGAAGACTGCATTCGACTTAGGCTGCTCGTCCATTGGAACCGAAGTACGACGGCCATTCAACAGCCGAACTATTTGACCAAACGGACGACCGGCAATATAGCCAAACGCCGTCGTCCACTGTAGCCGATTTTCGTCAGTTCACGACACAGCCCAAATGGATGTAGAAGATTTGTTGCCGCTCGAAAATTTTTAGTTTACATACAAATGGAATGAAAGAAATAAACAAAAATATTGGAAGTTCCATTTCTAAAGCTATCCTTGACCACAGCTTACGCTGGACAGCTCTCCGATGATAGTGGATCATGCATGTCCCAAGAGCCTGCTCCTCAACCGCACTTATCAATTTTTCACAATCCATCAAAATAAAAACGAAACAAAAAGGTAAGCAAAAAGCAAAGAACGGCGTTAAACAATGGTGAGCGTTTGATGTCACGCGGTTGACAGTTGAAGTCAAACCATTCAGCCGAATAGGACTGGAAAATCCAACTTTATTTGGATCGGAAAGTGCTTCGGCTGTACACGGCCCAACACGACCGAACGAATTGGTTCTAATGGACGCGTGCTCATTCGTTTCTTCGCTTTTGTACCATCCGGCCCTATTCGGCCGTTGCACGACTGAGCAAGTTCGGCCGAAAACTGCTCCAGTGGACGGCCTACCTTATCCAATGCATCACGGCTATCGATTTTTCTGGGATTCTAAAGATAAAACTCATCAAAACAAGAACAACAGAGAAGACAGTGGAAGGAAATAAGCGTCAAAATAGGAAAGAAAAAATACGACAAAAAGCCTTGCCATGATAGAAAAACTCTGGTGCAGCATTTGGCATTGTTAGAAACAACATACTTGTCCCACGCAAACTGATGGAAGAATTTTTAATTTGACAGTGAGAAACTCCCCCCCCCCCTATAGTAGCACTAATTTTGAGAAAATTGAAATTTTCCGATTTTTTCTTCATGCATAAAACCTATATTTTTTTTAAAAAGGAATTTCACATTTGTAGCTATTCAGGAAGTACCTTATAATTTTAATGATCAGTCAGTAACAAAAATTTTGAAATTCTCCCTTTTTGAAAAGGCTTAATATTAAGTGCTCAAACTTTTACAATGTCCGAAGCAGCCTAAGCTTAATTTATGTTTCATATTTCAAAAGACCACCTTTTTATTTATTTTTACGAGGGTTCGCAACAGCAGAGATTATATCAACTCTCAGGTACCGGTGTTTTTGAAAAAAATACCATTTATAAATATATCGGGGGCTCGAATGCAGGGCTGCTGGATTAAAACCTGGTACCTTTAACTTACAGTGATGAGCGCCCTGTCCACGCCTAAATCGTTGCGGCCACCGACGCTACTAACCATCCCTAACCATCTTAAGAGGAAGCAGAGATATGAGAGTGAGAAAAATTAGGTGAATTGGTACCTGAAAAGATACAATGGCGGCTTCCTGGAACTTGGCCAGTACACTGCCGTATGCTCAGATGAACAACAAAATACNATTATATATATATGTATATATATACAACATATTGTATAATATATGTATTGTACAATACACATATTATACAACAGTACAGTAACATTGTATAATATATGTATACGTGTATGTATGTATGTATATATACATACATATATATTACATACATACATACATACATACATACATACATACATATTACATACATACATATACATATATATACAAGGTTATTATGATTCGTAATGATTTTAATTTATCTATTTTTCAAATATAATCCTAATTTCATACATATGTATAGGATAATAAGGGGAAATGACTTCTCAAGTGCCCGGTGTTGCGTTTTTGCAACACCCTAATTTGCATACTAAATGCCTAGCTATATTTTTTTAAACATTTTTTATTGTTAAAGGGGTGAATAAGAAAAGTTACCTAAAAGATAATTTTGAAATTCCTCAAAAAATATATATATGGGTAAACAAGTAATTTATGTTGGGTTTACATTTTAAGTCAATTATCAACTTTTTACGCCTAGTTTATTATGTAAAATAAACAAATAAATACAAGTGTTGGTTTATTTACTTATTTATTTTATTTTTATTTTTATTTTTGACTGAATGTATTATTATTAATTATTTTGAAAACATTTTAGATGATCACTTTTCTCGGGATACACACATGAGAATCATCTTAGGTAATAAAACGTCACCTACAAGAGAAAGGTAATAAACAAGTATAAAATTAAATTGTTACAAATACCGTATTATTATTGTTATTGTTTTATTTTTTAAAGTAGGTTATCAAAACCAAAGCGAAATGGAATAGTGACGAATCCAGCTTTAAGGATAGTTCCGGCCATTAGAAATGGCCTAGAATTTGCGGCAGGCCGCTGGGGGAGCAACAACAGCGCCACGCCGTCCAACAGTTTCCAATGGAGGAAAGAGACGCCGCTTTAGCACAGGTGATTAAATTGTAACATCTCGTCCCGCCTGTTTAAATTTCAATTTTCCATCTATATTACAGGGAGATAATTACTGAAGACGGTACCGTTTCCAAGCTTTGCTAAATTATGGAATTGCTTAAGACAAAAAAAAAACATTAGTTTTGAGATAGTTCAAAAATTTAAACTTTTAAGGAAAGGCTTTTTTAGGACTGACTTTTATTAACCGTTTACGTTTCTCATTACACGATATGTTCCTTTTTTTTATCACAATTTTAGTTGATCGATTCTAAAATTCACCAAAGTGGTACAACATTTAAAGTAATGTTAAAAATACATTAAAAAAGGTACATATTTTATGTATCTTAATTGTACAAAGTTGTAAAATAAAATATAAAATTGTTTTTAATTAAAAAAAAGAAAAAGAAAAAAAAACTATCGACAGTGTAATTATTGAAATAGTCTTAACAGATTGGTATATATTATTTAATAATTTAGTAATATGTACTTGAATCTAGAAAATTTGTCACTGAAACAGTATTAGTATTTAAAAAATAATAATAATCACAGATTATGTTACCAGTTTGGTCTCCTCTCATGCTACACATAATATGTATCTAAAGAAAGAAAGGAGAGAATTGATGATATGAATTTTGGCTGTGGAAAAAATGTTATTGGCTACTTAGTTTCATAGAAATGTTAAGAGCAGTTGTACGAAACAGGATTTTTTCTTTTAGTATATGGAGAAATGAAATTACGATAAACAAAGTGACAAAGATAGAACGATTTTCATTATGGCCTATATTTTAAGAGATTTAAATAAAACTAATCAGGTCATAAACAATCAAGTAAGGATGTATACCGAAGGAATAGGAATTTCATTACGATCATGCCAAAGTAATAAATTTATATAGTAGTATTTCAGATCGAAGGGGGGGTCTGTAAATTTTCTTTATATATTTAGTAGTATATTTCTATTATAATAATCAGAGCTTTAATTGTTTTATGATTTTACTAATTTATATAGTTTAGAAGTTCTTTAGTTTTTTCCGTTCAAAAGTAAAATTTTTAAGTTCAATTAAAAATTAAACCCACTAAGCTAACACGTCATTTTTATTGGATTTTTTTTTTTAAATTCTGTTCAGCTGTGTTTAAATTCATTCGGTTTGTTCCATCTCGCGTCCAAACTGTTAGGCTCGTTCCAGTCAAGTTCAGGCGTTCCAACAGGTTCGTGACTGGTTTTTAGACCTTCAAGCAATACGGATGGATGTCACGCTTTTACTTTTGTCAAATCAATATGTGAAATAAAACATAAAATATTTACATAATGTATAGCATTTTTCAGTCAAATTAATATTTTTCTCAATGAATTTAATAATCGTCTCATTCAATTTAATGATTGACTCAATCAATTTAATAGCCGTTTCATTCAATTTAATAATCTTCTCAATTAATTTAATAATAAGTTGATGGGTAGGAAATAAATTGTCTTTTCAAAGAAAAAAAGGAAAAGACAATTTGTTTCCTACCCATCGACTTATTGTGTACTTCCACAAAATTAGGATGGACACTCAAAAAATTGATTTATCATCCCTTTAAGGACTTTTCAGTCAGGGAAGAAAATAAACAGGAGCTAGTAGTTGCAAAAACCTTTATTTAAATTTAAAAAAAAATGTAAAAATGATAATTTTAACATCAATTAATGGAGTGGCAGTATTGCAGCAGCTGTTAGCAGCTTTGAAAGGACATCCATTGCAAAATCGTTGCTTTCAGTGCCGAAATTGAAATAATGCTGCTTATTAGTTCACTTAAGTTGTACGCTCCTTTGGCTTCAGCTAAGAAAATAAGTTTTATCGTTGGCTAATAAGTAGGTTATATCAGTTCCTAATTTTTTATTTAAATCAGTAGTTATAAAATCACGATTTAGTAAATTTTTATATCTTAAATTTCCTGATTTTAATCTAAAGTCAAATTTCTTTATACGAACCTTAGCTTTTAAACCCTTATTTTGTATGCCGATGACCTTATCTTCTATAAGCATAAAAATATTCCTCCATTAGAAGAACAAATTCAATCAGCGATATCTCTGTTAAACAAATGGCTCAAAGCTTCAAAATATCAGAAAGAAAAACAGTCGCCATTCTCTTTGCCAAGAAGCAACCTCATCATATTCCTGAACTCAAATAACAAAAATATTCAATTCTCAGACTCCGTACATTACCTAGGCTTAATTTTTGATAAACACTTGAATTGGAAACTTCACCTCAAAACAATAAAACAAACATGCCTTTCATCATTAAATTTATATCGTTTACTGTGTTCCACAAATTGGGGAGCTGATAGAAACATACACAAGCTTTACAAAACACTAATCCAATCCGAAATATAATATGGCTGTATTGCCTAAGGCTCTGCCAGTGAAAAGACCCTAGAAATAATAAACACTGTTCAAAACGCGGCGCTGAGAATGGCGATAGGTGCTTTCCGCACCAGCCCCATAAACAGCATACATGTTGACGCGGGCGAACTACCCCTAAAATTTCAGCGACGTCTGATAGACCTTTTGTTCTTTGGCAAAGTAATTTCCCATCCTCAACATCCACTTCGTTCTCTCTTTCCCAATAATCGACCCTTTCCTAATTTTCCAAACTGGCACATCCTACGTTTTCTTTTCCACTAAGAATTCTAATAAACCTTCAAGACTTAAAGATCAAAGTACCATGCCAAAAACAACAAGCATCGCCTATCCCTCCTTGGACTCTTCCATCCCCTGTACCCCTGCAGCTTTCTGTCTTTAACAAAGATAATACTCCCCCAATTTTATACCGTCAAGAATTCTCCAAATTTTCATCCCGTTACCCACTTGCCGATTTTATATATACCGACGGATCTAAATCCGATGAAGGTGTGGGATCGGCCGTCATCTCTGGGTCCCGTTCTTACAATTTCTCACTTCCTCAAGAATGATCCAACTTTTCTGCCGAGCTTGTCATTCTTAAAGCCATCACCGTTATATCTCTCTCATAAAACTCTCATACTTTGTTCTGACTCCCTCACAACCTTAATGTCAATCAAAAATATTTTATCTTACAATCCGAGCATCCAAGATATCCTTTACAAACTAAAAGAACTCTCCACTCAAAATGTTAAAGTTATTTTCATGTGGATCCCAAGTCACGTTGGCATCCAAGGGAACGAAAAAGCCGATCAGTTAGCTAAAGAATCAATTTTGTGTGGAATTCCCACACAAAAGTTCCCTACAAGGATTTCTGCACACAAATCAAAAACATCATTTGGAAAGAATGGGAGCATGAGTGGAACAGACAACACACTACAAATAAACTTTTCCAAATTAAAAAAAGAAGTTAAACATTGGCAATACTCAATTCGAACCACTAGGAAACAACAAACAGTTCTAACCAGATTAAGGATCGGACACACCCGCCTTACCCACAGCTACCTACTCAAACATAAAAATACACCAATATGCTACACCTGTCAAAAACCAGTCACAATTAAACATATCCTACTGAACTGTCAACGTTATGCTCCTCTCTGCACATCACACCACTTCCCAAACAACATATCCGAATTATTGAGTGATCAGTCCCCATATTTAGACGCTGTCTTTGATTTTCTGTCAGAAGCAGGCTTAATTGGTGAAATATAAATTGTACTTCTTGAACATGTGACTCCCCACCCTCGAAAGGCTCAAGGCAAAAATGACCCAAAGGTCGTAGCCTTAAAAACAAAAAAGAAAAAAAAAGATAAAAAACCTTATTTTTCATATGAAATTTTAATTTTAAATTATAAATTTTATTAATCTATAAAGATCATTTTATAACCATAAATTTCTTTAAATTCTTGAATTGTAAATATGTAAGGGACACTTTTTTTAAATAACAGTGCTAAATCTAGTGGTTTTTTTGTAATTTAGTATTTTTCTAGGTGTTGAATTAATTATTTTTGCTATTTAATTTAATTGTTTTTGAGTATAAACAGATAGATCAGTTGATTTAGGAAAATATTTTCTTAAAATACTATAATTATTTTCGTTTAATCCACGTTGAATTGGAGTTCCTGCATCTGCAAAATAAATTTTAATATCGCATGTTTTTTCAATCAATTTTCAATTACTAAATTCTTTACTACGATCAAATGCTATAGTTTTTATTGTACCTTGTGGTAATTTTAAAGCAAAATTTATTATGCTTAAATTCACTAATTTCGTGGTCCGNCTATTACTTTTACGATTTTCAGTTACTAAAGGAATTGTCATTTTAGACTTGATTGGTTTTTTTATTGGTCAAACATTTAGGAGTTGGCAAGTAGGCGGTAGGGAAGTAATCATTTGAAAAAATGTCTGCACAACCTCTTTAACTTCAGCAGTTTTATGAATCACTAGAAATGCATTACTTAATGAAAGCCCATCAAGTTTTGTACACAGCTCATGTAAAAAATCCCAAAAGATGATCATTTTTCCAATATTTATACTTTTTGATGAAAAAATTTTACTTTCTAAATTTAAATTAAGATTTTTGCAACTTCTAGGTAATATTTATTTACTCCTCGACTATAAAATCCCAAAAAGGACGATTATTAAATTAGTTTAGGTGATTAATAATAATAATAATACTTTATTGCAAAAAAGAAAAGTTATAAACATTACATAATATATAATTTAAAGTAAAATTACGGCATGGAGGGTCCATTTTCGGAGGTCGATTTTCATTTGACTTAAATTTTTGGTCGACACAGAGAAAAAAGTACAAAAGAAAAATATTACAATTGATAATTTAATTTTTCATAATTACATTAATTACTAACATACATTATAAAATTTTTGTTCTTTGTTTATTTTACAACAAGTATAGATATATAAATTATTTGGGCCAGCAATTTAGAATGACAAGGTTTTAAAATATTCAAAAATTAAATTGTAATATTAACTCTTGGCGATAGTGCCCTGGCACCACAACTCGCCTGCGTGGCGAGCATATTTGATTAAATTTTTGTAATCATTAAGCAGTAAGTCAATAACCTGTGTCACATTCAATTTAGCAAAATTTAGATGCAGAAGCCGAATCTCCGATAGGATAGTGCATTTCGCAATAAAATGCACTATGTCTTCTTTAACCTGGTCATTGCATAATGAA